CCTTTGTAAAACTCTGTATGTAAACAGACGGAAGAAAAACCTTGAGCTACAAATACAACAAAACACTGCAAATAGATTATAGGTGTCAATCGCCATTCACTAGACCAGAACGTTTGAATGAGGAAGTGTCTCGAGATCGATAAGATTCATCCGTGCAAAAATGTTCCCCACTGTTCAAACAACGTATGGTCTCACCACTTCCGCTGAGCCTTCGCAGGGCGTATCGGTTTGCTCCATGAGGTTGTCACAGGCAGGGGTCTCCTAAACTCTTCCTCCCTCAGGTGGCGGATGGATCGGGGGGAAAGGGGGGGGGGCTAAACCAACAGCCATATCTCAATTTCACCGATAAGGATATGGATACTCTCCGATAAAAAGCTTCGCCTGCACTGTCCAATCAGAGAAGCTCCTGCTGTCGAACGCGACCAGAGGCAAAGGCAGATACAGGTGGGTTGCAGGGGGAGGGGGTGGGGTCGGTGTGGGGGTAGAAAGGGGAGGAAGAGGATACTTTTCCCCTACCTTTCAGAGGAACCTCTTCTCCATGGCATTCTATTCCCTGCCCCCCCCCCTTTCTTCCTCTGTTCCGTGAGTTGAGGGGCCAGTAACAAATAAACACGTGTTTTACTATTTTTCAAAATAACGCGCGCTGCTCGCACATTCATCGGACGAACAGCGCTGCCGGCGACCTGACGTTATGATGGCTTCTTTCGGGCCTCATCCTCGTAGTCAGCGGAGCTCCCCTCCCCATTCGTCTGTGCATGTGCTTTTTTACTGCACGGTCATCAGTTGGCAGCGCACATCAGGGCTCGCATTACAGGTGGCTGCCAGCCCCCCCCCTCCCTCCCCTAGCCAAAGTCTTGCAACTGTAGCGGCATTGCGTTTTCTTGTGGCCCTCCCTCCATATCGTTCCCGGGCGGGCGGGCCCGTCTCTATGAGCGAAGGTCCATCACTTTGGGCGATAACTAACCGCGCTGCTTTCTTCGCGGCCGCATACTAATGGGCGGATGTGCAGCCTCGGCCAAAGCTTCGGCCCCCCGCGGCGGCACGGGCGGCACGCGGCCCCGCGTCACCTTGCTTGTCGCGTGTTCTGGGGTGTGGGGTCCAGTCCAGCGGTCTCCAGCGGGCTCCAGCGGGTGGGGCTATGGAGCCGACAAGGGACTACCGAGAGCCTCGCTGAAGGGGCTTGGGGGGCTGCTCCGCGCGCACCGCAGTGTGCGAAGCGGTGCCGTTCGGAACTAACTCCTTATTCGGCCTTCGTTGTTTTTACGTCCAACGTATACAGTGTCCTCCACCGCGCAGCCTTGTGCTATGTGCTGTTGGTTCTGTGGAGCAGTCACAGTCGTGGGTACAAGCTCTGCGCGAAGTCCATCCGGACCGACGAGGACAGCAGGACAGCTGCCCTGCCTCCCAAATCTGTCGAGCATGTATACTGGGTACACTACACGGCACTGCACTACACGGCGGCTGACAGACGGGCGGGCATTCCTTCGACACTCCGTACTAATGGGAGGGGCTGTGAAGGGCTCCCCCCGCGCGGACGACTCACGGCCACTGCATGTCACGGTGCCGCTGCATTTCGGGACTGGCGTCCAACAGACCACACTGCCAGTAATACGCAAAGAGGGAAAATCAACAGCCCTCCCGCATGCCGGCTTATGTGTAAGTAACTGCCGCTATATTGCAACAATAGTATGAATCAGTATTATTCAGTCGTTTGTACTGCCATGCCTTTTATTGCTGTACGACGCCACGTCGTAGTTGATCAACAGAAATAGAATGTTTGTTCGAAATGACCACCAAAAGTGTAGTTGTTTTGGAGGCTTCATTGCTATGTGTACAACATTGTATCATGAAGAGAATATGAATTGTGAAATACACTTCCCTTGTAGTACCAGTACCAAACATTCCAAGAACATTCCCAGAACGTTATTTAGGTTTCGTGAACGTTCAGCGATATTTTTTGAACGATTCGTGCCACCAGGGTAGGGCTAAGAGAGGTTCAAAGTACTGTCTAGAAAAAATGGGAGGGGGGGACGGGGGAAGTGTACAGACCAGCAGCGCCAGTGGTGTTTTTGACTCAGTTAAGAAATGACAGATGTCCCGTAATCACGATGCCGATTGAATGAGGACCGCCTTAGGTCGAATGGAATAAGAAGTCTCCCACTCCACTACGACACAGACATGCCAGTTGAAGGACAGTTTAAATGGAGGAGAGACGACTCAGTTCGCTGACGCCCGGAGCGTATGCAACCATTCCTACGCTTATGACATTGTGGTAACGCAGCAACGGGGGATTCCGAGTGCGTGCGTGTCAGAGGAGAAAAACAGATGCGTAGGAACAGGGGGGCAGGGGATGTAGTCCCCCCCCCTGAGCACCTCGAAGGGACGCCAAAACGCGCCCCGGATAGGCGCCAGAATTCGCCCTGTGAACAGTGCTTAAAACTCAAGGAAATTAGGCGGGAAAGTGTCTTGAAATAAGGGAAAAATGGAAATGGAAATGAAACCATGTGTTTGGGACAACCATGATAGATATTATGCAGGTATAGGCAGATATTAGGCAGTCGGCGTAAAGAGGCGCCAAAAAGGGTCTGATGGGCCGTACCCCCTGGCCAAAAAGCCTACGCCCCTGGAGAAAAATAAGTATACACAACAGGGCCAAGGGCTCCCCGCCAGTTTGTTCGCCTTCTGGTGCCGATCTCAGGTACTATCCCCAAAATATTCATGTTCTTTCTTCAATGAAAATGTAAACGAAACACTAAAATTTTGGGGAATGTATCAGAGATTTGCACCAGAAGTCGAAAGATTGGGGGAAGATCACCGACCACCCTCTATAGTTACTGTACCGACGTTTTTAAAGTGTAATAAAGTTACGAACCTGCTAAGTTTGGTCTGTGATAACCTACAAAGCGCCTTGTAGGTAGGCAACATCTTACCTGCCGTGCATGCCTGTATTGCGGGGCGGCCTACCCTGAGTTTCGCAGGCGCTGAGCTCTGGTGCTCTGGTGCCTGAATCAAAGAAAACCGGACGTACTTTCTGGGTGACCCCCGAGGCGACCCACCTTTACAAAACTCATGGTGCCCTACGGCCCAGATCGAAATAGGCAACTTGCCAACACGCTTGCGCTGTGCAGGATAACTTTTAATAAAAAGTACTGAGCCGGTGGGGGTGGGGTGGGACACCGTTTGTGTGCACTCCGTCCGTCCCCATCCCTCTTCCCTCGTGACTGGTATTAATTAGCTGAGCTTCAACACAATAGGCATGTGCTTGCATGGGATGCGCGGAGTCAAAGGGCAAGCCGCACAGCGCCTTCACGACTGGCCTCAGGGTGCGGCTGAAGCCGGTGTGCATGGATGTACCAGTAGGCCGCCAGCTTCAGGATAGCCTGCCAATTTTAATACAAGTACCTTGGCTTACTCGGGGTTTCACGCAACTCTTTAAACGACCTCTAACAACACATGGCCAAAACCTCGAGTCTGTAAGTTGCGATCGATATCTCTGTTAAAAATGACATCACCCACGCCAAAGTTTCGTCATGGGAATTTCCACCCTTACGCGAAGAGGGGCGAGAAGGGAGGATGGGGTCAAAGGCTTTTAGCCGAAACCATGCAGCGCCCCAGCCCCCTCCCCCCTCCGCCCTCCGCTCCGACCCGCGCCCGCGCCCTCGCGGGCCACCGCGGCCACTCTATGGGCTGGACCGCCGCGGAGGGCGCGGGGAGCCGAGCGCAGCGGCGCCGGCCGCGTCGTCCTCTCGCGCCTCTGCGGCTCCAGTCAGTCCCCGCCGAGTGTTGCACCGCTGCACTGTGCTCCGCGCTCCAGGCGCGCCGGAGCCGAGCACCGCGAAACACGACTCCGCGGACGAGCACGACGAGCACCCAGTGGGTGCCGCCGACGCGACGCGACGGGCGACGTTGAGGTCACCGACGACGCCGATTAGCGACGTGCCTAACGGGCGCGGTGACGGCTTTTCTTCCGAGAAAGACGAGCCTCCCGAGCGCGCTCCACGCGACCACGCGTGGTTACCGCAAAAGCACTGATTATAATTGCGACTGGGTGATTCATATTAATTTTTACCGAGAAACCTCTCGGAGCAGTGCTCTGTGCGCCCGCGGTGCGCCGCCGCGCGCTGCGCCCTCGCCACGGCCCTCGCCCACTCGGTGCCGGAGGCCCGGCAGCTGTCCCGGCCCCGGCCGGCGCCGGCTCTCTCCGTCAAGCCCAGCTGAGCGGGCCTGGCGGGCCCCCAGTCTGCCTACGCCTCTGTAGCGCCTTTTTCCATGCACTCTCCCGGGCCGCAGTGCGAGCCGAGCCGCCATACTCTTGTGCATGCATACCGATCCGGGAGCACAGCCTCACTCCGTCTCCCTGGCAGGCGCGGCGCCCGCACTCAGCGTGCCGGCGTCAGTGTTGACTGTTGACTCTCACCGAGTCTCGCGTTTAGCCCCCCGTGTCATCGGTATCGAGTACCTCCTATCCCGCCGTGTTCAAGTGTTCACCTAAAAGAAACGACGGCGGGGATCCTCGAACCTGCGCTCACGCTCCCTGCCTCCCGACAGAAGAAGAAGAGGGGGTCCCGAGAGTGGTGAACTCGACGTCGTGGAGCCGCCGCGCAGCAGCTCATCGAAGCCCCCGCGCTGCGACGCCGCCGACAACGACGACAGCCTCAATTGGTGCGCGGGAGCCGAAAGCCATCAGCCGCTGGGGGCGTGGCGCGGCGCGGCGGGGACAGAGGGCCATCCGTCGTCCAGGCAGAGAGAGAGGCATTGCCCCAACGAGAACGAGCGCCCTCGCCCATGATACATATCGCGCCGCTCGGCCCAGCAGCGCGACGCGACGCCCAGCCGCGGCTCTTAATTGACGTATCCTCGCCGCCCTGGCCCCGGCCGGCCCCGCCAGCCCCGCCAGCCCCGGCAGCGACCCCGCGAGGAGGCGGCGCGGCGGTTAGGAGGATGCGGTAGCGTCGTCGCCAGCGCCGTGCCGTGCCCGGGTGGGGCTTCCTTCGCGGGAGCCACTGAGTCAGCGCGTCGTCGTCGTCGTCGTCGTCGTCTCCGCCGCGGCGCCGATCCGATCGCGAGGCGTCTGACGGACCTGTGACGGGGGTGTGACGCTGGCACAGCGACCCCCCGCCGACGCGACATCATGGCCGGGCGCCCGCCGCCGTCGCCGAGGAGGCGCCGGCCCACCCCTTGCCCGCCACCGCCGCGGACACCATCGCCGCGCGGCCCCCGCCAGCACCACCGCCACCTGGAGGAGGTGGTGCAGTCCATGGGGGCGCAGTGGACCAGTGAGTTGAGT